AGTGTTTCCCAGAGGAAACGTCCGCACGCCCAGCAGTTGGCACGCTGCCGCCCGGGGCTGGGGTGCACATGCGTGGTGAGGGCCGCTGGCTGGCCGCGTGCTTTGGCCTGGCTGTAGTTCTCATTTCAGCAGCAAAGACGGTGCAGGCGGTGCAGGACTCGGGGCGTGGGCCATGCAGGGAGCACCCCGGAGCGCATTTCCTATTTCTCTGCACACTCGCCCTCTCCCCAGGCCACGTTTCCCTTTCTCTGTTACCCTCAGTCAACCATGGCCTGAAAATGGGTGCACAGCACACAATATGGTACTTAGAGACCACACCACGTAACTCTTCTCGTAGGATATTCTTGGAATTGTTCTATTTGCTCAGTAGCTGTCGTTCTTACTCTTACCGTGCCTGACTCTCGAGCTAGTGCGGCGCGGGTAGGCGTGCAAGCGGAGGAGGAAACAAGCTGCGTGCAGCGTTCAGTGCCATCCGCGGGTTCAGGCATCTGCCGGGATCTTAGAAGGTATCCCCAGGGATCAGGAGGGACCACTGTACCTTGATCTCTTCACCAGAGAATAGAAGCGGTTACACCCAAGTCCTAGCCTCATCTCAATGCTATAACAAAGTGCAGACAGCACCTGGCCCGGTGCCTGGCACACAGTTGGTGGCCAGGAGAGCCTAGCTGCAACGAGTGCCTTCCGTGGCAGGAACCACCTGCTGGAGTGTGGACATGCCATGGGAGTCCAGCTTTTAGGGTTGCTGTCCCAGCCCTTCTTTCTGGGCTCAGCCGGTCTACGATGGATCCTTGGGGCTCTGTGCAAGCGTGTGCTTTGGAGAGGTGACGTCGCCCTTTGCTGTGTGAAGAACAAGGAGAGAGGCGGGCCTCCACATGGGTCCCTTTCCATGGTCCCTTGCTTCTTCCTCCTTTCTTGCACGATCTCAAGACTCCCCAGCAGTGCCCGGCCCTAGACAGACACTGGGAAGGAGGAAGGGCACCAGGTGCACAGGGCAGAGAACGCCTCCACCGTCTTCCTCTCCCGGCCTTGCCAGGCAGCGCTGAAGGAGAGCCATGGGGCTGTGCGTGCAGAGCGAGGGGCAGTGCAGCCGTGACCTTGTGGGCAGGCCAGGGAGCTTCCAGAAGAGTCTGCCCAGGTCCAGGCTTCCCAGACTCCCCTCGCCCCCACGTTGACATTGACTCCTTGGGAGCTCTGGAAGAGGATGTCCTTGTTTCTATAGCAAAGATTCTGCGAATCTCCCTCTTTCCCAGGTCCTAGGGGGCATCAGCAGAGGAGATTCCCTGAAAAATGCCTCCTTTCCCTGATGAGAAGTGGGGGGCATGAGGTCCCCAAGTCATTCAAGAGCAGGGTGTCTGGCTCCCCAGGCAGGCTGGCCACAGGCTCCCACCTACCTGACGAGGTGTCTGCAGGTGACCTGTGTGGAGCTGGCCCGAGGGCGAGATGTCACTCATTCTTCTCCAAACACCTGCCTTTGCGGGTGAGCAGGGCAGTAGAAACAGACGTCAGGGAGTGCACAAGCCCTTTGACCTCTTCCTTAACCGGCTCCAGGCCTGTCCCCACCCCATGGGGCTCTAGGTCAGGCTGTTCTTGGGGCCCAGGGCACTGGTGAAGATCGGAGGCTCAGGGACTGAGACACACCTCACCCCGGTACAGTGGTCCAGCACCCTGGGGAACTGCGAGATGCTGGGGATGGCAGGCATCCTTGCTGTTGTTTGTCAGAATTGCTGACGGGAGAGGACCAGTGAGTGGGCTGGCCAGGCCCCCAGAGGGAGGTCACCGGGTCAGGATCAGGGATGTTGAGGGTGCATTGGCTGCAGCACCCGTGCAGCCCTCTTGCAGTGCAAGCCCTCTTCGGAGATGGTTGGCAGCCAGGCCGTCTGGAGGTCCTCGAGCCCACCCACTGCCTTAGAGCTCCTGGCTTTCGGGCCTGCTCGGCCTGGCCTCTGGGCAGTGTCTGGAGAAGACGGTTATGTGGACACCCTGAACTGCAGAGCAAGGTCCCTGGACACCTTAGTGCGAAAGTCCCTTCTGCCCCGTACCTCGGGTCTCCGAGGACGGTGCGACCACCACGTCGTCCCTCACTCAGCCCAGCCTCACCTGCCGGCTCGGACTGTTCCAGACCCCCAGTCTCCCCCGTGGAGCTGCGCTGTCTTGGCAGCAAGGAAGGGCTTGGCCTCACACCTTCTTGGTGCGACCTCACCGTCCCGCTTCTCGGATGGTGGAATTGGGACTCTGGGAGGAAATCTAGGGAGTCCGTTGCAGGTTGCTTCAGAAGACATCCTAGGGGCTGGCGCCTGGCCCGTCAGATCCTGGCTTTTCCTAGAGACGCTGGGAGACTTTCTGCTCCCTCCGAGCAGGGGAGACCCAGCCAGAAGTCGGCCTCAGTGAGTCCCCATTCCTCCGCACTCACCCGGTTGCATAATGACGGGACTGCTCTTTCCCCTCAGGAATCCAGCTCCAGGAGTAAGGGCCAAGTTTCAGCCCTGCTGATAAGATGTTTACATCAGCCTAAACATAGCTGGAGTGCCTGACACGCCAGCAACCTGCCAAGCCCTGCTTGTAGAGCGGACAAACACCTGGCTCGTGGCCTGCGAGGTGGACAGACAGATCCCATTCACAAGTAATGGGATGCGTCTGGAACTCCCACATGTGGCCTCCCATGGTGGAATGTCCCTCTCCAGCCTTCCCCCTCCTGCTCTCTCCTTCCAGACCACAGGAAAGGGAGCGAGGGGCTCACGGCAGCAGCCCAGCTGGCCACGCTCTGGGCTCAAGGCACGCCTGCCTCTGCCCCCTGTCTCCTCTCCTGCAAAACAACCCTGAGGGCGGCTTCAGGAGGGCCTGCAGTAGGAGAGTGTGCTCCCAGCTGGCCTCCTCCCCAGCCTTGGAATCCAGCAGGGAGCAGCTGGCAGCCCCGGGACAGGACAGAGGCCAAGCAGTGACGCAGGCTCCTTCAGCTGGCTGGGGCGGGACGCAGCAGGTGGGGTTCCACGCACGTGGGTCTCATTAGGCCACTGGATGCGTCTGAGCCCCAAGCAAAGAATGAAGCCCTTCAGGGCTGTCCAGGCAGCAGCCGGGTAGCCGTACGCCGGGAACTTCATTCAAAGAGTGTAGGTCAGAGTAGCATGATGGCAGACATCAGCTTCGAGAGCTGTTTACCGTGTGAGCCTCCACTCCCTGGAGAAGCGGGGTTGCAGCACCTGCTTCACGGGCCACTGGGAGGATTTAAGGAGTGGCGTGTGCAAAGGCCAGCCAGGCCCCGTGTGCAGTAGCCATTCTAAGGAGTGGGTATTAAAGCAGAGCATTCAGGGGTAAGGATCCCTTCCTAAAGAATAGAGGCTGCCCCAGCAGACCTCAGGAGGCTGCTCGCTGGCCTCCAAGGGAAGTCTGAACTCTGAACTCTCAGGTGGTCACTCCTGGGCTGAGGCCAGGGAGGGTGGGTGCTGTCAGGAGCTAGGCATCACGATCTGGTGGGATAAGCGAGAAAGTCCAACAGAACGCTCTGTCGGCGCTCTCCTGTACACCAGCCACGTCTGGCCAGCGATGCCAGAAACGGGGCCGGTGTGGCTGGGGACTGTCCTTGGATCCTACCTAGCTTTAAGTAATTTAGGGCTCGGTAGCTGCAGGTGGTCAGGGCCCACACAGCCAGGCGGGCCTGGGTGCAGATGCGTAAGATAAGCGAGAATAGAACCGAGGCTGTGAGTCTGGCGTGACCCTCTATCAGCGCTCAGCCCAGAGCTGGTAAATGCCCCTGGCAGAGGGCATTGGCAGAGGCGGTCCCAGCGGGCAGCCACGGGGCAGTGAGACTTGACCCTCCCCTCTGCCTGCATCCCCTCCTTCCGGCAGAACCACATGCTGACGCTGATGTCAGTGGCTGCCCGCATCTACAAGCACCCCAGCATCGGGAACGCCATCTCACTGATCGTGGTGAAGGTGCTGATCGTGGAGGACGAGAAGTGGGGCCCCGAGGTGTCGGACAATGGCGGGCTGACCCTGCGCAACTTCTGCAGCTGGCAGCGGCGTTTCAACCAGCCCAGCGACCGCCACCCAGAGCACTACGACACGGCTATCCTGCTCACCAGACAGGTCTCGGTGGCTCCAGAAGCCGGGGGTGGGATGGGCAGATCAGACCACACATGGGAGCCGGCTCCCTGCTGGCCCCAGCTGGACGCCAGAGCCGCCCAGGGGACGATGAGAGGCTAGAAGATTCTCGAGGGGAGGAGGAGCATCTCAGAAGGGCTGTTTCCAGACGTTTGTGACCAGCTGTGTGCTGACGTCATGGCAAGGGGAAACAGGCTCGAGCCGCCCAGGGAGAGACCAGTCTGGGTTGGACAAGAGAGCACGCTGGGAGTCACCCAAGGAGCAGGCCCCAGGGGCCCCTCGAGGCTCCACACCTCAGGGCTACCCACCTGTCTAACCTCAACACATCCTGAGGGCAGGAGAGAGTGAAGACAGGTCCCAGGCCCTGCCCACTCGCGCTCCCAGCAGCCTCACTAGACCAGCAATGGAGCGTCCCCGTCTTCAACCTGGGGACACAGTGGCGTGGAGTGGCTCGCTGCTCTCTTGCTGCGCAGCAGCCGGGCTGTGATTGGGCCCTAGCAGTCTCTCTGAAGGGCTGTGCTGTGAACTAGGCCTCGAGCTCGCTGCCAGCACAGCACGCTGCAGAGCAGCGTCCTCACGTGGTGGCCCAGGATATGATGGGGCCCCCAACAGGGCCTTCACAGTACCATCCGCTCCCAGGCTCAGCTGGCTTGGGCATGTACATGCCCAGTGTGCTCATGGAGGCCCCAGGATGCGAACCCAGGACCTTCCCATGTGGCCCAGTTGCATTACCACTGCCTCACTACCCGGCCCCCATTTGTGTTTAACCAAAGTAAATTTCCCCGGTCACTCTGTACGTGAGGAAGGCAGAATGGGTGAGCTGGCTTGACCACGCCCAAGACAGAACAAGTGGTGGTGAAATGCCACCCGCACGCTGGTGCGGCCTCCCACCCTGTGCCCGCCGTCCTCTCCCCGGCACTGACGCGCGCTCTCTCCGCCAAGCAGAACTTCTGTGGGAAGGAGGGGCAGTGCGATACCCTGGGCGTGGCCGACGTTGGCACCATCTGCGACCCCAACCAGAGCTGCTCTGTGATTGAGGACGAGGGGCTGCAGGCGGCCTACACACTGGCCCACGAGCTCGGTGAGACCTGCCAGCCCAAAGCCCACTTCTCCGCATCACGGGCGTGGTCCCTCCAGACTCAGGGTCGTGCAGATCCGAGGGACCTGCAGCCCTCGTAGGGGCCACTCCCCCTGGGAACTGACAGAGCCAGACTGGCCTCTCAGGGATACGTGAATACGCATGTAGAGGTCTGGCTCCATAACTCCGCTCCCACCCTGGGCACACGGCCCAGACCGAGGCCGTGTCCCGGCGTCCTGGTGTCCCGGCCCAGCATCAGGGTCACTGGAGACTGCCAACACAGGAGGCGGGCACTCTGGGAGGGCGTGATGCTTCTCGCGAGCCCAGCAGGAAGGGTGTGGGGGAAGGTGAGCCGCAGAGTCCCAGACCTGATGGGGGTCACTGTATCCATGTCACTCCGTGTCAGTCCTCTTCCTGGAAGAGGAAGCCCAGGTAGGCCCCAAAACAAGAACTCCAGAGTCAGTGACTGGCTGTTCAGAGGAGCAGGTGGCTGTTAGTCCCGCAGACACCAACCTCTGCCCCAGGCAGGGGAGTAGTCGGGCAGGATGGGCCGCCAGAAGGGCAGGGGCAGGCGGAGTGGACCGGGCTCTCTACTCCCCAGGGCACGTCCTCAGCATGCCCCACGATGACTCCAAGCCCTGTACGCGGCTCTTCGGGCCCTTGGACAAGCACCACGTGATGGCGCCTCTGTTCGTCCACCTCAACAAGACACTGCCCTGGTCGCCCTGCAGTGCCATGTACCTCACAGAGCTCCTGGACGGCGGGCACGGTAGGCACCAGGCCTGTGCTGCAGTGCTTGGACCACCCTCCCAAAGCCTAGCCTGCCCTGCCCTGCCCTGCCCTGCCCTGCCCTGCCCTGCCCTGCCTTGCCTGAGCTCAGGGCTGTCCAGGTTCTAGGCTAACTTAGATCTGCGGGGCACAGAGCAGGTGGGTTAGTCTGAGAATGTCGGCTGAGGAGGTGAGGGAGACAGTCTGTAGTGCAGGAGGGAGGAGAACACTCCAGGCTGAGTGGTGGTCACAGCCAGCCCCGGATGGCCAGGAGACCGAGTGCGTGTTAAGACCAGGAGGGGGTGAGGAAGGCCGTGGCCAGAGCAGTCTGAATGGTCGAGTAAAGCAACGAAGCCCTGTAGTCCTGGTTCCCCAAACTCGGGGAGACGGGACATGAGGTGCCAACACAACAGGCTGCCCGAGCCCCGCGGCTCCGCTTGTGTGCCGTTTTATGAGCATGCTCAGGGCCAGCTCTACGGCCCGGTAGATTAGGCAGTAGGATCCCACAGGCAACTGCAAGCTTAGACTCCTGGGGCTTGAGAAACACGCCAAGCTCCTGTAGGTGTGTGCCCCAAATCCCGAAAGGGGGGCAAGTTGGAGCAGGAGGAAGTGTGGTGTGACCATGCTCCGTGGTCTCCCTTTCTGGCGAGCACACACACCCTCTCGCAAACACACTTACACCCACTCGTACTGTGATGTGGCTTGCCCCGACGGCTCACCGGCTTCGCCAGCTGCACATGGATTATTAGGGGTGTATAGCCTGGGTGCTCTGGACAGCAAGAGTCACCTGGAAATCTTTGCTGATTAGGTAAGCATGGCGTAGAAGCCAGAGCATTAACGGCTCCTGAGTTGAGGGCCAGAAACTGTTGCCTATGCTTTTGGCCAGCCTGGAGGAAGGCAAGTGCAGCTTAGAGGCCGTGCGTGGCTGGGGAGGGTGCCCTGGCCTGCTCCGATCCTCTGCTCGCCCTCCCCAGGGGACTGCCTCCTGGATGCGCCCTCCTCGGCCCTGCCCCTCCCCACAGACCTCCCGGGCCGCTGGGCCCTGTACGAGCTGGACCAGCAGTGCAAGCACAGCT